AGAGAATTATAAATCAGAGACATCCTGCAGGGGAGGAGGAGGGAGAGGGATCAGAGGGAGGAAGGAAAGAGCACAGGGAACTGAGGTGATGGTGCACGGGTGCATTGGAGAAGGAAATTCTATGGGGGCTATACCCGAGGGAATGGGAGGAAGCAAATACTGTTTAAAAATGAACAGTGATGTAAAAAATAAAAAAAAAAATTAAAAAGCTAAAAAATACATAAAAAAGCATTAATTGATAAAAAAAATAAAAAATAAAAAGCCATGTAAGTTGTGTGTCCAGACTAGCTGACACCAAACATCCACTATCATTGCCCACTTTAGTGCTGGCGTAAATGGTCAACAAATGGAGCAGGTTTGATTAGTAGTGTGGAAGTTCTGCATTAGTCCAACAGAATGGAATCCCACTCATCTAGGCTGATCCTAATTGTTGAATGTACACCTTGCCCCAGACACCTTTCTCTCTCAAGGCCAACCAACCATTTGGTGCTCAATCACACAGGAACTCTTCTGTCTGTAGGTCAGTGATTCATCTTGACTGGAGTTGACACTTATTCCACCTGTGGGCTTGCCTTTCCTGACTGCTGAGCTTCATTTTCTGATGGCTTAGGTAGGCTGTGAGGCAGTGATACAAAAGCTCACAAAATATTGCCTCAAACCAATGGACACTTTAAAATGAAGAGGATGCAGAGGTGGGGCTATGGATTCCCTGCTCTAATCTACTACTCCACCCAAAAGCTACTAGCCTCCCTGATAGGCCAAGGGAATATCTATCTCTTTAGAGGTACCAACAAGGGTCCAGGTTAGAGATGATAACCTGTGAGGAGGGAGTACCATCCTTCAGGATGCAGTTCACACCCTGAATCAGTAACCCTTATATGGTACTATGTTCCTAACAGGTATAATACTGGGTCATAGGAAGCAAAGAGTAGAAGAACAAATGGTTCCATTTATTATCACTGCCAGGGATCTATTTGGGAAATTTGCTTTCTGTGTCAGCAGCTGACACTCTGAGAGCATAAGTTCCTGTTTCTTAGTGTTCTTAGAAGGGAAATTCTTCAACCAATGACACAGAACCCTTTAAATCTTTATGTGCCTCTTAGTGACTTCTGTTTTTTTTGTGATCAGCATAATTAACAAGCTTGATCTTATGCTAGAATCCCACATTTTGAATGGTAAGTTATAAATCGATACCCTAATACTCTTTTTTTTTAAAGATTTATTTATTTATTTATACAAGCACTGGGTACAGTCAGAAGCGCGGGAGGGTGAGAGAATTCACCAGAGCCAGAGCGGGGAGCAGAGCAGGCAGAAGGACCGAAGTACACTGCTGAGGGGAGCAGGGGGCGGCAGGAGAGGTCTGCGCGCCATGTGGGACCGTCCTCTGGTGGCCGGGGAGCAGCTGGGGATCGAACCGGCGCTGCAGAGGCTGCGGGCAGCTTCGCAACCTGGCGCTCAGCCACTGCGCCATCGGGGAGGCCCGATACCCTAATACTCTTCTTGACAATTTTTGTGGGGTTTTTTTTTGGCCAAACACTTGCCAAAATGACAAAAGGCAGGTGACAAATAGCTGATAGCTGCCAACTCTGACACTTTCTCCTCTTTCACCTTTGCTCCACTATTTGTATTATCTTCAATTGTGCTTTATTTTAAGGCACATTTTAAGGGTGCTTTATATCAAGGAATCTTTGTGAGAGTTACTTTAGTTAATTTAAATAATTTTGTCTAAATATCCACTGATTCTAGCATACATCACTTGCAATATTTCTCAATATACTGAAGGCCAATTAAAGAAGGAAAATGCCACTGTCACGCTCTCTGGGTTTTGAAACTTACCCTCTTCCCTCAGGATACTTCATTCCTGACATTTGGCTGCATGAGATGCAATCTGGGATGATACTGTGTCCATATGCACATGAAATATAAATGAAGATTAACTTCTCATTTTTCAGGCAAAAGTAAGTAGCAAAAGTAATTCTAATATTTTCTGCCTATACCTCTATGGCTCGTCCTTCACACTGTCTTGGGTAGGGCAACCCACTTTGAATATTTCTGATCAGTGAGCAGAGGGTTTTTTCCCCCCCAGATTCAGCAACCTCCCTTTTGGCCAATGTTGGGAAATACTGCTTCTGGAATTACTCTTCATTGACCACTTTTCCATCTGATCATACATACTTTCTTTATGAGAGTTTTCAGGTCTAATTAAGTAGGAGTCCATTTGAAGTCCAAGGAGAACTTCAAGATTGCGTTCTACTAAATGTTGATTTAAAACCCTACTCTCAAGTTCTTAGTGGGCATCTGTATGGCCTACCTACAACAATTACATGTGAAACATCACATAAAAATGTATGAGCAATTCAACATCAAGTTGAAAAACATTACACAATAGGGAAACCATTGTTTTTGTCAATTACTTATGACACTGAGAAAAACAAAAGCTAAACAGGAAAAAAAAAACTATTCTTGGGACCCCCCCACCTGCATTTTGAGGATCAGGGTCAGCTGTGAGCAATTAAAGACCCCCCCCCTGATGACAATGGCTTATCTGTGATAGGAATGACTGCTCTCTCACATCAATGATTACTGGGAGGCAGAGCCTCTCTGCTCCATGAGGCCATCAGGGACCAAGCTCTTCAGAGCCTTCATTCTGCTCTCCCTAGGGCATGACCTTGATCCTCATGGTCCTCTATAGAGGGTCAAACTCCGATCATCACATCTGTGTTCCAGGTACTAAGACAGAGGAAGGGACAAAAAAGAGATGGGCAAAATTTGTACATATCTGATTCTTAAGGTAGATTTCCAAAAGTTGTCACGTAATACCTCCACTCCTCCTGCTGTCTGGATCTTAGTCACCTGTTCACAACTGGATGCAAGAGAAACTGACAAATATATTGTGTATTCTGAGCAACCAAAGGCTGGGTTTAAAATTGCGAAGTTTATTACTATAAAAGCAGAAAAACACTGGGAGACAGCCAAAATACTCTGCCAAAATTTACAAGTTGACAGCTCCTAGGCCTCAGCAGACTTTGTGAATCTGAATACACTTATAATTTGGTTGGAGGTTTTGCCCTACTATATCCTGAAGATCTCACATTACAGCTAGAATTAGCAACTGTTTCTGTGTCCCCTTAAGAAGCTGGAATAAACCTGACTACAGTGAAATACCTCAAGGGAAGGATGGCTCCCCATTCCCAGCCCCAATCAGTGAGGCTCACATCACTTGGGTGCTTATCAGATGCGTGCGGGCCCTTATTCTCTCAGGCTGTTTGGTAAAGAGAACAAATAAATATTATAACTGAAATTCCCTGGGAGTCTTTAGACAAGAATTAAAACTCTGTTCATCTTTCTCAAGTTCCTTTTTCTCAGGATGCTAAAAAAAAATATGAAGTAGAACAAACAAGATGTAATCTTCTTCTAAAAAATTTGGTCCCATTGGAGACACCAATCTAAATGGAGACTTTCCCTCTACTTTTGTCAACTAACTTTCATTGTGAAAGGTGCTGAGAGTAATAAATAGAATAAAGGGTTTTTGGTTTGAAACCTCTTTACGGCGTATCCTGGAAATATACTGGACTCTAGGGGGCGCTATTCACATTAGCACTCCGTGAAAAGCAGCCCCTTGGAGCACAGTATGAATGGTGTGCAACGATGTTGACCTGCCAGGAAGTAGTGTAATGTGCCTGTTAATCGCAAAATAGTTACAAGGTGGCAAGATAAACAGATGTCACTGAGGTCCCGAGAACAGTCAAAGGTTACTCTGTTCTTGTAGAAAGTCGTTTTTAAACTTATTAAGTGAACTTGGTTTATGTTCCTTTCATTAACGACTGCCAAAAGGGTACTATTTAAGCTTGCCATATTTCTAATTTCTAGAAGTCTGTTTTAAAGGCAAATGGAAGACCTTGGAAATTTCAGGTTCCAACAGTGCTGTGCAGTATGATTTGCATAAACAACTCTGTAACACCATTAATCAGAGGAGTTTAGGATTCTTTCCTTTCTCTCTCTCTCACACACCTGTTCCTGCTGGAAATGAGTAAGTAGACAGCAAATGCAGCTGCAGAGTGCCTTCACTGATTTAAGGAATATCATTAGTCTCATCTTTAAAGCTTCAGTATTATGGCAGAGCTTCAAGGGTGCTTCTAATATACAGTCCCATCAGAGTCAATTGCCATTAGAACATGGTTTTCTTAAATGTCATTCAGAAGCTGTTTATGAAAAAAGAGTAGGTAGTTTTTAAACTATTAACAACAATAAAGCTTTTAAGAAAGTGCATTTTCAAGGGTAGAATAAGATATCCTGGAAAGATTTCATTATATCAACCACGGTTGTAGATATCAACCTACACACAAATTACTAACAATTTAGAATTAGTTTTGCTTCTTTTGAAGTGCATAAGAATAAATGAACTCATAATTCTTCTTCCCATTTGGATAATTAATTTTATCCCTTATAGGGTCATAGATGCTTTTGAGAATATGATGGCGTTATGGCAACTTTGGTAAGAAATGTACTCAGATACATACACACAAATATTAATATAAAATTGAAGAGATCGTTGACTCCTAAAATATATTCACAAACATTCTAGTTTCAAAACCCCAATCTAGAGTCAGTGTAAGGTGAAAATGGGTTTTGAGAACTCAAAATCCACTCAAGGTCTAAAGAAGAAAATGTTACTTGTATGTGGGTGGGGTGGGGGTTACATTGAAAATAAGTCATTTTGGAGATCAAGTTACTGCTTTCATAAGTCTTTTCTATTGTTTTACTTAATTTCAAGGTCCAATTTATATCAAGCCCAGTATTATGCATCTCAAAACTTATTCTAAATTGAACTACAATCCAAGCCATAAGTTTGGGGTTTTTGTTCGTATTTTTACAAAGAGAAACTTACACTGTATTCATCCAAGATTTCTCTAGCAGAACTCTCAATACTTGTGTTTGGGTTCAGAGATGAAAATGTGAAAACAGTTCATTTACATCACACTAAAGGACAACGTCTGGAGTACATTTATTTATTTACTTATTTATTAACAATTTTATTGAGATACAATTTACACACCATATAATCCACCTTTTTAAAGTATACAACTCAATGGTTTTTAATAGATTCACAAAGCATAAGCATTTCACAATGTTGTAATTAACCTCCCAAAAACTCTGTACCCATTAGCAGTCATTCCCATTCCATGTGCCCCCACCCCCATCATTCCAGCCTTAGGCAACCTCCAATCTACCTTCTCTATATATAGATTGGCCTATTTTGGACAGTTCATATAAATGCCCATATCATATGGTCTTTGTGATTGCTTCTTTCACTTAGCAAAATATTTTCAAGGTTTATCATGAGGTAGCATGTATCAGCACCTCATTTCCTTTTTATGGCCAAATAATATTCTATTGTGTGGCTATTCCATACTTCTGTTTATCCATTCATCTGTTTATGCCCAGTAGAGATGTTTCTAATTTTTGACTGTTATGAATAATTTTGCTATAAATATTTATGTACAAATTTTTGTGTTGATCAGTCTCTTGACTTTTAACAATATAAAGCAAAAGGTTAAAAGGAAAATATTCTTATAACAAAATTATACAAAATTTGTTTTGCAATAAGTTTATGTTTTTCAAGACTCAACCATTTTCACATCTAACATCACAAAGGTTTATTGTGCCAGGGAAATTGGCATCATTACTCTATCACAGAATCAGAGGTGGTTGATGTTCTCAAAGTTTCCTTCTTACACTAAATCAGCAACTTAGTTTATAGAAATCTCCATGAATAGAAGGGTAAATAAAGACCAGGTTGTGGCCATCCCCTGCTCTTAAGGAAAATTTCGACTTTACTGAGCCCTTCTAAGCAACAAGCACAAGTGTGCATAGGTGACAGCCTTGGATAGAATGATAGATTGAGCAGGACTTGCCAACTTACCTGTGTTCCCCATTCTGGTCTGCTGTACTTAGTTCCTTTACCAATTCCCAACTGTGTCTTGCTCATAACCTTAACACTTTTGCCTTTGATACCCTGCTTCTCCTTCTGGCTACAACCTCTGCCTTTCCTTGGGAAGCTTTCCATGTTCATTCGCAGAGACCCTTACTACTCACCGACCCTACCAACCATCTCTGCTCTACCTCTAGATTGTGATCTGAACTTCATCACAGGTTTCCATGCTGGCTTAATCCCCCTCAAGACTCAAAATGTGCTAAGTGCTATGCGAAATGCAAAGGGAGTATACAATGAATGTTTTTTGAATGAAGGATCCATAAGTTTTCCTATCAATGCTGTGTATGTAAAGTTGAAAGGGGTCAAAGTAAATTTATGAGTTAGTTGTATTTATTAGTTATTAATTGATGACATATTTTTCTAATGATCAAAGCACTTTGGAGCCTCAGTTTATTCTTGAGGCTCTCTCCTTATCTATATGGTATTAGCAAAGGCTCAATCTTTGGAATTGAAATAATTTATCTGATAGGGACAGATTCATTCCTAAAGATTTAACCCATTAGAATCATCACACAGAAGACCCAATTAGCTGACAAATTATTTATATTTTTTGTATTTCAGAGTAATCTTACTCTAGATCTTTGGATTCAATTTCAATGAAATTATCTGAATATTACCTGACGTCAGTATGTGAGGCATAACCTGGAAGGTGAAATCACAATTTACTGCTGAGGGGTCCTGCCAAACTTTGCCATTCTTTCAGGGGAGGGTTTCCCTGGGAAGCCAGTTTTTTAAGATAGTCACATGGCTCCAGCTGGGGAACATCAGGATTCTGCCTGTAATATTTCCGCAACTTCTCTAGCACTGTGGGTAACCCAACTGTGGAAGCATAGAACATGGGTCCACCCTTGTGCCTTGGCCATCCATACCCATGTAAATAGATAACATCAATGTGCTCTGGGCTAGCAGCTATTCCTTCTCCCAAGATACGGAATGCTTCATTGATAAGTGCATACAAGCAGCGCTCAAGGATCTCATCCTGGCTAATGATGCGTGGCTTGATGTGATGAGTTTCTCTGTACTGTGACAAAAATTTGGAAAGCCAGGGATCAGGTTTGTGAATCCTACCCAATGGCTTGTCATATTGGTACCAGCCCTTACCTGTCTTCTGGCCAAATCGTCCTGATTCACAGAGCAGATCAGGAATTGGACAATATCTCCTGTTACCTCGCTTCCGGGGAGGAGTTCCTGGAGGGCAGGTAGGTCCAGTGAGACCCTGCCCTTTTCGAGATTTCCAACCTATATCCAACCCAGCAAGATCAGACACTCTAAAAGGTCCCATTTTGAAACCAAAGTCCTCTAGCACTCGATCTACCGCCTCTGGCGTACTGCCTTCTTCTAGCAAGAAATATGTCTGATTGTAATAAGGAAACAACATTCGATTCCCAACAAATCCAAAACAGTTGCCTACAACTACTCCAAATTTTTGAATCTTTTTTGATAAGTTCATAACAGTGGCAATGGTCGTGGGGGAAGAGTGTCGGCTGGGGATAATCTCTAACAACTTCATGACATGAGCTGGCGAGAAGAAGTGAGTACCAATAACCAGGTGGGGACGGTCAGTGGAAGAAGCAATCTCATCAATGTCCAGGGCTGAAGTATTGGTGCACAAAAAAGCTTCTGGTTTGCACACAGCTGACAGTTCAGCAAAAACCTGCTTTTTCAGATTCATGTCCTCAAAGACTGCTTCTATGACTAAATCTACATTATTAAGCTCCTTCATAGATGTAGTTAACTTGGGTTTTGGTCCTGACCAAGGACGACCATTCCGCTGCATTTTGGATGCTTCCTTTTCCAAAGTGGCGTTTATTATCTTATTTGCAGTTTCTAACTGCTTCTTGTCTAATTCTACAGCAACCACAGGGATGTTGGCCTTTGCAAGAGAAATGACAATGCCTCGTCCCATTGTCCCCAAGCCTGCAGATAAGAATAAAGGAGAAAAACAATGACTTCATAGTCTTGGAAACTGAAAAATTTCTCAGTGGATGGAAGGTTTCTGCAGCAATGTGGCATACAAAGAGATCAATTCAAGGAGTACAAATGAATTGAATACTAGTTAAGGCTAAGCACTATGTTAAATATTTAGAGGATACAACAATGATTAGGATTCACACACATAATTAGTATATAAAACAAGTTCATCAAAGTTATAGGACATAAAATCGATATATACAAGTCTGTTTTATTTCTATATACAAGCACTGAATATGAAATTCTGAATATGAATCTGAAATTAATAAAGTAGTTCTACTTACAAAAGAACCAAAAATGAATAAAATACTTCATCAAAAATTAACAAAAAATTACAAGACTTATACACCAAAAGCCAGAACACAGTATTGAAAGAAATAAAGAAGACCGAAGTAAATGTAAAGTCATTCCTTTCATGGATGAGAAGACTTAATATAGTTAAGGTGGCAATGACAAAGGTTAAGTATGGCAGTGACAAAGGTTAAGCAAATAGATCAATGGAACAAAATTAAGAGTCTGGAAATAAAGTGGTACACATATGGTCAGCTGATGTTTTTAAAAGGGCACTAAGATAATTCAATAAGGGAAGAATAGTCTTTTCAACAAATGGTTCTGGGACAACTAGACAGTCACATGCAAAAGGTGCTGGTCCCCTACCATAAAAAAATTAATACAAAATTGATCATATTAGAACTAAATCTATAAAATTTTCATGACCTTGCATTGAGCAGTAGGTTTTTAGATATGACACCAAAGTGCAAGCAACCAAAGAAAAAAATAGATAAACCAGACATCATCAAAATTAAAAAAAAAATTGTGCTTCAAAGTACACTAAAGAAAGTGAAGAGAGGCCCTCCTGGTGGTGCAAGGGGTTAAGCACCGCACTATGAAGCAATCCAAAGCCTCTGCAGCACGAGTTCAATCCCCGGCCAGGGAGAAACCCACATGGTGCAGCAGAATTCTCCTGTCTCGCCTGCTGCTCCCCTCAGCAGTGTATTTTAGTCAGTCTGCCTGTTCTGTTCCCCACTCTGTCTCTGGTTGATATTCTCACCACCACCCCCACCCTGCATCTCTGGCCTGTACCCCAGTTCGTGTATGCATAAATAAATAAATCTTTAAAAAAAAAAAAGAAAGTGAAGAGAACTCACAGAGTGGGAGAACTCATATATCTGATGGGGGACTTAAAACAGAATATATAACAAGTCAACATAAAAAGAAAACTAAATTTAAAGTCAGGCAAAGGGGCCCATAAACATTTCCTCAGAGAAGATATATTAATGGACAATAAGCAAGTGAAAAGATACTTAATGTCATTAGTCATTGAGGAAATGATAATCAGAACCACACTGAGCTACCATTTCACATCCACTAAGACAGTTATAATTTAAAAGGCAGACAATAGTAAGTTTGGGTGAGGATATGGAGAAATAGAACCCTGATAGCTAGCAGATTGCAATTGCTGTGAAAAACAAGTTTAGACGTTCCTCAAGCAAATCCATTCCTTAGTAGGTAGGTAGAGAGGTGCATATACATCCCTAGAGAATTGAAATATGTCCACACAAAATGTATATATAAATGTTCATAGCAGCATTATACAGACTAGCCAAACTATCAACTGATGAATGGATAAACAAGGTGTGATGTATCCATACAGTAGAGTATTACTTGCACATACAAAGAAATGAATTACTGATTCACACTTCAAGGGTGGATGAACCTTGAAAACGATATGCTAAGTTAAAGGTGATGGACACAAAAGGCCACATCTTGTCTCACTCCATAGACATGAAATGTCCAGATTAATTGAATCCAGAGACAGATAGTAGATTAGTGGGGTTGCAGGGGTTGGGGAGAAGGGCAATGAGGCCTGACTGCTGATGGAGATAGGGTTTATTTTTAGGGAGATAGAAATGATCTAAAATTGATTGTTACAATGGTTACATGCTTTGTAAATATCTAAAAAGCATTGAAGTATACTCTTTTTTTTTGCTTTGGTGAGGTGGTTAGTTTGTATTTTCAAAAAATTTTCAATTGTGATAAAATATACATATCCTAAAATCTGCCATCCTAACTATTTTAAGTATGTAGGTTTAGTGGCATTTAGTGAACATTTACACTGTTGTGCAACCAGCACCACCATCTGTCTCCAGGACTCTTTTCATTTTACAAAAATGAAACTCTATACTCTTTAAACAATAGCTACCCCCTCTTCTCACTCCCTGTCTCCTGACAACTACAATTCAACTTTTTATCTCTATGATGTTGACTACTTTAGGCCCCTTGTCAATGGAATCCTATAATTGCTTTCACTCATAATATCCTCAATGTTCATGCATGTTGTCGTGTGTGTCAGAATCTCTTACTTTTTAAAGGCTGTGTAATAACTCATTGTATGTGTGTGCGTTTGTGTGTGTGTACACCGTCTTTTGTTTGTCCATTCATCTGTCAAGAGATATGAGTTTTTTTTTTTTTACCTTTAGACTATTTTGAATGATGCTGCTATGAACATGAGTGTACGAATATCTATTCAAGTTCCTGCTTTCAAATTTTTGTGGGCATGTTTTCATTTCTCCTGGAGATAGACCCAGAAGTGAAATTTCTAGAACATATGATAATTCTATTTTTAATTTTTTGAAGAACTGCCATACTGCTTTCCTTCGCAGTTGTACCATTTTATATTAAATTATACTCTTTAGGAGGGTGAAGTTTACAGCATATATGTTGCATTTCAAAACTGTTACAAAAAAATATGAGTATGGGCCTCCCTGGTGGTGCAGTGGGTTGAGCACGGCGCTGTGAAGCTGTCTGCAGCCTCTGTAGCACGAGTTCGATTCCCAGCGGGCCAGGGAGATGCCCACATGGCGCGGCAGACCTCTCCTGTCACACCCACTGCTCCCCTCAGCCGTGCTTTCAGTCTGTCTGCTTGTTCTGCTCCCTGCTCTGTCTCTGGTGAATTCTCTCACCCTCCCGCACCTCTGGCTTGTACCCCAGTTATTATATAAATAAAAAAAACTTTTTAAAAAATATGAGTAGTACCAACTCCCAGGGAGTTTATTATAATCCTGTGGGAAAAGGAAAATTCATAAATATCCATTCTATAGGATAAAGCAAATGATGTGATGATTCAGATTTCTTTGGTGATTTAGGGAAGGGGATTATATTTGGTTGATTGAATAGTCCAAGAAAATCTTCAAGATAACAATATTTGAGGGCCTCTCTGGTGGCACAAGGGGTTAAATCTCAGCACTATGAAGCTATCTGCAGTCACTGCATTATGAGTTTGATGCCCAGACAGCAAGGTGACCCACATGGCACAGCAGACCTCTCCTGTCTCACCCACTGCTCCCCTCAGCAGTGTATTTCAGTCAGTCCACCTGTTCTGCTCCCCACTCTGTCTCTGGTGAATCCTCTCACCCCCCCAACACCTCTGGCCTACACCCCAGCTCTTGTATGCATAAATAAATAAATCTTAAAAAAAATAGCAGTTGAAGAAATATTTGAAAAAAGATCACACCAAAATAGGTAGATAAATTGGGGAAGTTGAACCATTCAGATTGAGGGAAGGAAAAGAAAAAAGAGTGATGTTTTAAACGCAGGCAAGAAGAATGGGAAAAGTGAAAAATTATTTTATAGCAAAGATGTTGCTGTTCCCTCCTATACAATTTTATCTGGATGTTCACATAGAACAGCATATTCCCCACACCCCATCCTGGGTGGGGGTGTGGCTAATTCTGGTCAATGCTTGCATCTGTGCTGCCTGTGAGGTAAGAAAGTTTTTACATTTTAAATAGTTGAAAAGCAAAAGAATATTTTGTGACACATGAAATTTTAACAAATTCAAACTTTAGTGTTCATTAATAAAGTTTTATTGAAATACCACCTCACTTATTTGCTTCTATATTGCCTGTGGTTGTTTTTGTACGTCAATGGCAGAGATGAGTAGTTGCAATAAAGACCCTCTGGCCCACAAAGCCTAAAATATTTACTATACAGCACTTCCCAGAAACAGTTTTCTGACCCTTGTCCAAAAGAATGGCTCAACCACTACTGGGAAAGAACCTGGTTCTAGAAAACCCCAGTGGAGCACACAGAAAATGATTGTGTTAACTCACTGAAACTGTTGGGTTATCTGTTACCTTACTGACTTTGGATGATACAGAAAGTCACTTCTGTATACTATTCTATTCTTCATATTGACTAGCTTTGTTTTTCAATATATTGTAGAATGTTATCAATCATCAGAAATCACTGAGTTTCTCTGGAACATACTTATTTAATTTGTTAAATTATTTAATAAGTCCTATATAATATAATAAGTAAATATTATATTATTAAAAAACTCTGATATTCCAAATTCTAAACATCTGCATTTTACTCACTAACAAGAAGGCTCAAGGTTATAGCAACTTGTAGCCTAAACTTCAGTTTGAGTAAACAGTTGGAGGGAGAGTGTGGAGTTCAAAACGCTGACCTAGCTTTCGGTCCCAGACTCCATACAAAAGTTTTAACATTGTAGAGATCAAGATCTCATGGGGACAATAAGGATTGAAGAGAAGTCATGTGAAAGTGCTTTGTCGAGTATAAAGTAATGCATGTGATATCTCAGAACCAAAGCCAGAGCAGGGTAGGAAAGTCACCTGCAAAGGTGGAGCATAGGGCCTCCCCGGTGGCGCAGCGGTTGAGCGCTGGGTTGCGAAGCTGCCCGCGGCCTCTGCGGCGCCGGTTCGATCCCCGGCTGCTCCCCAGCCACCGGAGGAGAATCCCACATGGTGCGCAGACCTCTCCTGCCACCCGCTGCTCCCCTCAGCAGTGTACTTCAGTCCTTCTGCCTGCTCTGCTCCCCACTCTGGCTCTGGTGAATTCTCTCACCCTCCCGCGCTTCTGACTGTACCCAGTGCATGTATAAACAAAACAAACAAACAAATATAATAAATAAATAAAAACAT